CGGCCCCAGGGGTCGGCGGATTATAGGGACCCCCGAAATGGTGCCCCTAATTTTGGGAACCCCCCAAAGATTCTTGCGCGCAGTTCACAGAAGTGATGACCTTGATGTTTTCCATAAACAGGGCGCTCCGTGCCCCGATATAAACCCTAAATAGTAGTTTCCATTTCATTTTCTGCTATCCCAATATAATATCACCCGTATAATCCCTGTAGTTTCCATTTTCTTTTCCATTATCCCAACATATATACAATAGATCCTCCCAAGTAGGGGCCTCAAAAGGCCAGCCCAGAAGGGGAGACCTGTTGGCAGGTCTTGGTTGCGACTGATGTAGCCCAACGCGGCTGCTCGCCTAAATCCTACTTGAGCTATAGTCTCAACTATTTCAAGGGGGGTTATATAGGTCATTATGTAGGGGAGTACTGTAGGAGTTATTCAGGGTTATGCTAAGAGTTTAGACTACGGCTCACTTCATTTTTCTCTTTCACAGGGGCTATGTAACTATGTAGGCAGTATGTAGCGATACCATCGCAGTAATGGAGAATCAAACGGAACAGGACATGGAAGATTAAATGGACGGCGGTGAGTTAATAGATATAGGATTGTACGAACAATTAAGGCTTTTGTGGGGTTCTTGTAATCAAGATATAGATGATGATAATTTATTGGGGTCTATATTGAGAGATCGGGACCCTCGCGTACGGGAATGTGCCTAGGCTTGGACATCAAGAATGTCCAGTTCGTCGTGAATTACGACGCGCCGTCGAACTTGGAGGCAGTTCTGTACAAAGCAGTCAGAACTCGACAGAGTGCTTTTGAGATGTGCCCCACACCGCTGACTTGCAGTCTCTGTGCCAGCATGCTCGCCTCACAAGGACTACGTGCACCGAATCGGGAGAACCGGCCGAGCGGGAGAGAAGGGAGATGCGTATACATGCCACTCGGGCTGCGGAAAGGCGTCTTGCTAGCCTGCAGAAGCTGGTGCTTAGAATCTGGTTCCAGGGCATGCATGCGTGCAGCAACCAGGCCTGTACGATTCCGACAGCAGTATGGCAAGTCAGATCAAGAAGGTTTTCATGACGCTTTGCAGCACATCGGCTGTGTCTCGTCCTGGCCTAGTTGGAGTTTCTCCAACCATCCCTCTAGGACAATTATCCTTCCCTTGGTCCTGTGTTACTGGGTTCCTGCGACTTGCTTTCACATGTGCTCAGTTGAGGAAAACCGGACAGCAGATCCCTCAAGACCTGCACGAGATCGCCTCAGGTGGAGGTGGCATTGCTCAAGGCTGGGGCGCCCGTGGTGGCGGCAAAGGAGGAGGCGGAGGAATGCCAGTCCTCAATGGTGAGTGGGGCGGAAAATACGCGCAGAATGGTGGAGGCAGGACATTCCAAGTAACTGGGGGGCCCTTTCTTTGACCCGTAGCCATGGGCATGAAGCTTTCGATCCAAACCCAGAATCTACATGTATGATCTTTCCCAGCCCTAAGATGAAGCCCCCGCCAATCGCCCTTTGATTTGTGTGGGCTTACTGCAAAAAACCCATCAAAAGCCCAGTCAGATCATACACACGGACAGTAACAATGAACTACCTACGTGCTTTGGATCTTCGTGCAGGCTACAGCAATGGTGGAAGCGGATGGTGAGTGAGGGGCACGTTTTGAGGTGTGTCCCCAAGCCAAGCTGGCTTCTATGTTCACAAGGGCATGGCGCAGCATGCCTGCGTCTTCACAGCCCTCAATTCACAACAGAAGTCTGCCTGGCGTGCGCCAGTTTTCAGTCTGGGGGATGCACGCCGCCTGCCAACCTGGGCAAAGAGCCCCTAAGGGTTGCAAGAGTCAACTGACTCGCATTGAGTCCTTAAAGCCCCAAAGCGTCTCAGCAAATCTAACGCCATATACAGCATGTTTATAACCATGCTATGCTTGCTTGCGCGCATGCATGGCATGAATTTTGGCTTTGTTGTGCACAAAGTTCCATTTCCATCCGAATCTGGGTCTCACCCACGATTGTGACCAGAGGCGCCCGGGGAAACAGCAGCATGCAGGTGCTTGACTGGAAACTCGGCTATGCCAAGTCAACTATGTACAAGTAAGCTCTGTTGCATCAATTGACTTTCATGTGCTGCGATGGTGCCAAGATGTCGAAGTGCCTCTGGGAAATTCTCATGCGTGGAAAGCTGTGCCCTTCATACATCTGTGATGGGACCGCAACCCTTCTGTCGCACTAGTTTGTAGCTTCTCTTGTCACCAGATTATTGCTTCTGTACCTTGTGCATGGCCACTCTGGCGGCTAGCGCTGCTAAAGCTGGGTAGGTCAAGGAAACAGCCGGGCGTCAAGGTGGCAATTGTAAACCCAGGAAGCGTGCACCAAGGAAGCTTTCATGCAACTTGTGAGATTTGCCACTAAGCCGAGCTGTGGTGCTAGCAGCTTCTGGAATCCAGATAATGCAAAGGAAACCTGAATGACCCCAACTTGCCCGGCTTGATTTCTACAGATCTGGACCGACTACGTTCTTTGGGCACAGCGCTGGCCATCTGCTGAGAAGGCTATCTCAGCTCATGCTTGCAATGCAGGGCTCATAAGTGCTCAATGCTCGCAGATTCGGCAGGTGCTTTGCAAAGCTGAGCCTGAACTGTGAGCTGCAGAATTTTGGAGAAAACTCCCAAGCCAGGTGGTGCTTCTGCGACGCGCCGTACGCAGCTGCCATCCCAGCGCTTCTGTTGCTCACCTTTTGCAATCAGTGTGCCCTTTTGGCGGTACATGATGCATCATGGCCCTGCTGCATTTGGCGGCTTTAGCTCCGGGACTTATGCTTGGGAATGTTGCTGTTTGATGCCACTGTCCCCGGACACAGGCCCAAACATGTGATGTAGGCATGACCGCGCCAGACCGCGACAGACCAGGTAGCAATATGCGCAGTAGAGCAAAGAAGCCTAGGGGTCCACCTGGCACCCCTGATGATTTGGTCATTGCTACTGGCACTCATCAATGCTTTGCAGTACCAAGCGGGTAATTATGACTGTGCATATGTCCAAGTGCACCGAGCCGAGATCTACGCTTGGCCTAGAAATACCGCATAGCCATGAAGTTTTTGGTGCGGGCCGGCTCCACGCATGAGTCTCTCTCCAGCGATCCAGCCTCTTGATGGTGCTGTTGGTACTCACATCGGTGTGTTTCGTTGAATTTATCCAAAGTTCGGGGGAACTATGACTGTCATCGCTCTAGTTTGCCAAAGCCAATTTTTTGGGATTGAGGATCTGGAGCACGCTATGAAGGACCCGGAGTCTGCCATCTTTGATAGCACGGCCTCGCGAGATCCGGCGAAGCTTGGATTTCGCGGCGACTTTCTGATGTGCGGCTGAGCCGCATTAGGAAGACCCCATTGTGATAGTGTTGGTCAGGTGGGGAAGTTTCACGGGATAGCCACCGCCCGAATAGATTCGTAGAGGGTCTCAAGATTTGTAGAAGGTTCCGGTTGTCCCTCCACTTCTATAAGGTGCCACCTTGCATATCAGACCCTCGCCACCCCAAGAATATAGCTCCCTTTGGGCACCGCACCTGAGGTATGTTGATAATTTGCTCTTTCTCAGGGCTGGTTGTGGGACTTTGGTCTGAGATGGGTTGTGGCTCTGTCTGCATGCATTTCCTGCAAAGACACTACTCCGTGGCCTTCTTTTGTGCCGGTGGGTCGGTCTTGATCCTAACAGTGCTATATTTGCTGGACTTCTTTATGCCACCACACATTCCGGACGAATATTTGGTTCTTTTTTCTGGAGATCGCTTCGTGGGGCGTGGGCTTCTCGCGGCTGCTGTGGCCCAGATCCTGATAGGTGTCCTTTTCCTCGCAGACAGATTTCCCACGGCCCCCCTTGTGCTCACCATTTTCTTATGCCCAACCTCCCTGATCATCGTGCGCCAGCTGACGAAGCCCAAGCCTCGATTTCAGCTGGGCGCAGGTTCCAAGGAGCACAGCTTAAAAGATCGGCTTCGCATGCTGAAGATGGTCACTGGGGAGGAGAGGGAGCAGCGAGTCTTCTACACAGCAGCGGCTGTTGCATTTGCAGTCACCGCGCTGTTGTGCATTTCCGCTTGGATCCCTTGGGCAGTCACCACTTCAGTACAGTTTGACGTCAGCACTGATGCAGTCGAGCGCGAGATGAATTTTGTCCGCTGGGCCACGCCTCTGATAGTTTGTATTTGCAATCTTATTTTTGCAAGCTTTGCTGGGCTCCGTGTGGCTTTGGACAAGACCTACGCAGGCACAGACCATAATCGAGCGCAGATCATCTTGAGCTCACGAAGCCATATGAACCGCGAGTTGATGGACTTTCGGATAAGTCAGCTGCGAGTTCAGCTGGCCCAGGAGGATGCAGGCACACAGTTGCAGCGGACCCGGGATCGAGCGCAGCAGTGCCCTAGTTGCATCTGCATTGCAGCACTGTCCATCCATGCTTGCAGTATTTGCTGTTTTGCCTGTTGAAATCAGTTGCTGGAGGTACTTGATACAGCACACCGCTCATATGAGGTGCCGCACTGAATGGCAGTAAGCTTTGGGATGTTTCCATCATGTTGATACAAACCATGGAATGCGCACGGTTTTTGTAAGAGCTGGCTGAGAGAAGTATGCGGGCATGGGAGGTGTAAAGCGGAGCACACTTGTAATGACCTTGCCAGGCAGTTGTCCAACATTGTGCAAACAGTTGGCTGTGGTTTCATCGCTCTCTTGGGCGCACTCTTCATCGCCTTCCAGCTGTGGGCCGCAGACAGCCATATCGCTGACATGGCCAGGGGCAACAATGGGCTGTATCTCATGTAGCATAGTGACCGGGCTTCAGAGGTCCAGAGAACTGTATGTTGATAGTGATGTTTTGGGAAGTGTGCACCCTAAACCCTACTCCCTAATCCCTAGTCCCCAAACCCCAAGCCCTAATCCAGATCTCCTGGGATGCTGGGCCTGCCAAAAAGCTATTCTTCAGCTGTTGATGCCCCTCAGCAGGTGCAATGCTTCCTGGCATTCTTCTTCCTCACCTTCCTTGCATTCATATGCTTCTCATTCAACAGGATTTGGCAAGCCATGAGTACGTGGCTGCAGGCGCGTGTTTTCTGACTATTTAAACCGTGGTTGTGGTTGTGGTGGTGCTCGTTACTTCTGTTGTGGTTGTGGTGCTGGGGAGGCTGCTGGTGGCTGTTCAGAGGGTCACGGCTGCCTGCCTTGGTGTACTATGAAAGAAGTATAGGCTTGGGGTCCGAATCCAAAACTGCAAACAGATGATATGACTCGCGCACCGGATTAGTGCAAGTCACTTACATGCACCGAATGGGAGCCCGCATAGTGAAAATACGTTCGCGGCATTATCAGCAGCTTTGTTAGGCTGTGTAGTTCTTTCATCGGACATAGATTGGACGGCTTGGCCGAAAGGAACGACACGAACATTTGCTCGACAGGACCTGCCCATGTGGAAGTCGATGCTGGGAATCTGCGAATCCAGCTGGGCCCGTGCGGCCTTTCTGGTGCTGACGCTGCCTGCGATGCCACTAGTGCTTTGGTGTATTCAGTGTGGGGTGGGTTGTCTGTGGCAGTATCAGCTGTAGTGAAGTGGTCTATTAGCAGCAGAAAGTCATGTTCAGCAAATTCTTACATGAAAAGCTTAGGCTTGGACCATGCTTCAACATCTGTAGGACTCCAGACAGTTGGTGAGTGGACCGCTTGTGACGCAAGGTGCTGGCCATGTCTGCAGTGAACCAGGCGGTGCGTAGATTGAGGAGGCTACACCCAGGCGGCCGCTGCCTCACCGAGAGGACGCAGGCACACAGGGGAACCATGGGAAGTGTGGAAGGTGCTTAGTAATGTGAGCAGGGCTTTGGCACAGAGGGTCAGAGCTTTCAAAACTACGAAGGCCTACAATCAGGGCCCTGCTTCTGAATTGGTTCGCTGTACAATGAGAAAGGACAGGTTGCGTTGGAGTCTACATGCTCGAGCTTGTCGCGAACAGCGCGTCGCTTTCGCTATGCCACGCATGCTTCTGCTTTAGATCAATGCTGAGCTGCATAATTGGAATTCAAGGGGGGGTTTGCGGGAGGGGGCAGTGCTTCACTATGGCATCAATGCATATCGCCACTCTTCTGTCCTGTCTCTGTATATTCTACAGCAGGCTCAATTTTTGACCGTAATATTAATAGTCAGTAGTAGTCATCGTAATACTACAAAAAATTACAATAACAATCTGCAAAACCTTAACCCAAAGGCGATCTTTGCCCAAGTGGTTCAGTGGGAGTGGGTCCCAATTGCTTCATGGGCTTACGTCGTGGCGGTGATTTTGATCCTGTTCCTCCTGCCGCAAAGTTGACAACCTTTCTCTTTCTGTGGCGCTAAGGAATATTTTATCATACATTAACTTAGCAGCTTTTGGGCTTCCACACCTTGTGAGGTATAAGATTATCCCCATCTTTCTGAATGTTTTGCTGGCCTGGCTGAAGTCCTTCGTAACAAACCTGCCCTTCGCGGGCATCCTTGGCTTCACCTTCGCAGCTGGCATGTTCCTTTTCATGCTGCCACCAGCACCCGGGCACAAGAATTCTGTCAGTATACCCTATAATTTTTGGGAGTCACATACTATTAGAATGATAACGTATCTAATATAATGAAATATTATAACAAACGAAGTTCCTAGCGACCTGCACTACCCGAGGTCCCTGGGCCTCCCATCTATCTTTTTGGAGGCCTGGTCATCTCGGGCCGATGCCCGTGGGGCTTCTGGTGGGGTTGTGCCGCCGGGCAGCAGCGGGATGCAGCAGAGAGTAGCGTGTGGTCCTAAACCCTCCAAGCAAGAGCTGACTTCAACAGACCAGGTGATTTGTATTCTCTTGTGCGTCGTTTTGAAGCTTTGCGCGTGCGCCATACAACAGAAAATTATTGGACAGCTGCTTGGAAGTCGGCAGTGGATTCGCCACATGGTTGGTGCCCGGCCCAGAAGCAAGGAATCCCTAGCTTGACATGATGTTTCTTCCAATCCTCATTTGCTGTAGCCATTCTCCGTTTTGAGGCATTCATCGCCCCTTCATGCGTGCCATTGAAGCCGTGCTGAGAAGACCCGGCATGAACTTTGGCAAGTGCATGATACTGTGTAACTTGGGCTGTGTTATGGTCTTACCGAACCTCTTGGTTTTGCTCAACCCTAATATAACCACTATATAAACCCTATATAATCCCTGTAGTTTCCATATTCTTTTCCATTATCCCCATTATAAACCCCCACAGTACTATATACCCTAATTTAACCCCATATAAACCCTATATAATCCACTTTTGCCCATTATAACCCCCAAAGTACTATGTACCCTAATAGAACCCCTATATATCAGAACCATCCTTGGAAATGCTTCCATCAAGGCAGCTCCAAGTTTAGCTCACGTGATCCTATAGTTATATTGGGGTAATATTGGGATAATGGAAAAGAAAATGGAAACTACCATGATGGGGTTTATTAGGGTATAATGTTGGGGTTATATAGGGATAATGGAAAAGAAAATGCAAACTACTATATTATAGTAGGGTATATATTGGGGCGAAAAATTGGGATAATAAAACAAGATTGGAAACTACGATAGTATAATAAGGTATATATTGGGGTTATATTGGGAAAATGGAAAAGAAAATGGAAATTACCATAATGCGGTTTATTAGGGTATAATAGGGGTTATATAGGGATAATGGAAAAGAAAATGGAAACTACTATATTATAATAGGGTATATATTGGGGGGAAAAACTGGATAATAAAACAAAATTGGAAACTACTATAGTATAATAGGGTACATATTGGGGTAATATTGGGATAATGAAACGAAAATGGAAACTACCATA